ACAGTAAGAGTGAACAACATTAATTATAATTAGACTTTTGATGTGCAGTATTCTCACAGGTATTTTGTAGACGTCTGTTTGGAGTCATGACATTTTCTGTTTGGATGAGGACCGTTTGTTTTGCACGCTGTGGTCCTGACAACAAACCTCTCCATCAGTCTCATGTGGGATGGGATGATTCAGGAGGAACGCCTCCGTGAAATGCTCCTCAGAGTCAGCGCTCATCAGGACGCAGCTCCAACTTCAGTGAGTAACGAGACCTTCAAAGCTTTTTTATGAGCCTATATTCCTTTACTTGGCCGCACAAAATCCCCCCTTTGTGAGCCGTTAGCAGATGGTTAGCAGGAAGCAGGGGCTGCTCTGGCTGACCGAGACTAATTTCTACGAGCTTTGCAAGCTTGCCACATCCCCCTGCTCCTGCAGCAGGCCGGGGGCAAACAGCTGGCTAGGCCTCACCTAAAGACATCTTCAAAGTGTCACCACTAAAAACAAACAATCCAGCAAAAATTCATTATCACTTTCACATGACAACCACATAAACTCTAGGTCAGACAGAAAATTATTCGTAATCTGCCTGACTGGGACTAATGCTCAGTTTGATAGAGAACTTTACCAATTGTCTTTTATGTATGTGATTGTTCCAGTAAAGTGCCCTGAGACAACTTTGTTGTGATTTGGTGCGATATAAATAAACTGAATTGAATTGAATTAGCTGTGGGAACGTTTATAAACTAACAACCTATTGATTTAAACTTTTACTATGAGTCATATCATCATGTTCCCATGAGGATTACATATCATAGAGACTTTATATATATACAGGATTATCCAGATGAATAAAATAATAAAACAGCTGCTGACAGGTGTTCAAAAATCATTTATTATTATTATTATTATTATTATTATTATTATTATTATGCATACTTTGCATAATTTCACGACACAGACTTGAAAAACGAGCTTCAGCTCAGAAATGTAGCCCTGAGCATGCTTCTCCTCCGTCTCTGCTGAACGTGGACGGAATGGTCCTGAAACAGTTCATGATTCAGTTCTCTTAGTTTTAATCCGGTATTTTCAGGATTCTTCAAGACTTCCATGAACCAGTTTACAAACCAGATGAACTTAACCATTGTCTTGGCTCTCTTTCTGCTTCGTTAAGTGAAAGGGGATTGAGTAAATATGTTATCCATGCATGAGAGCCTCTGAATGGGCCGTCTCTTTGTGCTGCGGGTCCGACAGGTGGTTGACTGTTTATTATCCCCTCATTATTTATCAGTGACGTGGGCGCATCAAGGGAAGGGAACTCCCCGTCCTTTCACTTCTCCGTGATGAACAGATTGCGCTGCTGGTTGCAGCCTTGTGTGTGACACCGGTGGCCAGTCCCATCTCGGCCTGCTGCAGCCCTTCAGCGCACACCCAGCTCCTGCAGGCTTTGGGAAATCATTTGGTTTGGTTAACAAATTAACATCCACCAATTGCCCTTTTCTGGCACAGTTTGCTGAACATTTACGTCTCACATTGTCTAGACTCAGCAGCATTTCTGTTTATTAGATGCATCAAGGAATGGACGGCGCAACCCCATGGTTGTGCAGCCTAAAATGTAAATCAAAAGAAAATGCAATGATTTGCAAACCTCATAAACACATATTTTATACACAATCAAGTGTTTAAACTAAGAACTTGTTTGGAGATCAATGTACATTTCTATTTTAATCTGACAAGTGAGACAGGGGAAAGTGATACAAATAAGAAACAAGTGGAGGAGCATGTTGCAGCTCATTCGATTCAGTCTGATGGTCATTTCAGAGAGTTTCTCAATATGGACACAGATTCACCCGTCTGTGAAAAGCTGTCTAAAAATAGAGGAACAATTTTAGAACAATGTTCTTCAATGGAAAATTGGGAAGATTGAATATCCCAGTAGTTTTTATTATCATCAAAAGATTTCAAGAATCTGGAGGACTCAAAGATAAGTCTGGGATGGGCAGCGCTGTCGTTTTCTCTGGGCTGAAGTTCAGTAAAAAATAATTAAAAAAAAAAATTGGAAAAATCAAAAGTTGGAAAATCTTTTTGGAAAGATGCCACATTCTTTGTACTAAGACAGAATAGAACCATACAGGGTATGTTCAGCACACAGTTCAAAAGCCTGCCTCTCTGATGGTATAGGGATGCATTGATGCTTATCAGGGCAGCTCTGGAAAGGCACCATCAATGTAGATGAGTAGAAACAAGTAAAACCTGCTCCCATCCAGACAATGTCTTAAGAGAAGGCTTTGCTTATGTCAGCAAGACAGTGCTAACCCACATACTGCATCATTACAACAACATGGATTTGTAGTGGAAGAGTCTGGGTGCTGAAGTGACCTGCCTGCAGTCCAGACCTCTTACCAATGGGAAGCATTTGGCTCATCATGAAGAGGAACTGCCAGCAAACAAGACTCTGAACTGTTGGACAGCCAGTCTGACAACGGGACAGCATTCCCCTCCAACATTTCTGGGAACTGCTCTTCTGTTTACATTTTTACACAATATCCCAACTCTTTTAGAGTGAGCTTGTCAGTAAAAACATGTAACTTTAAACAGAAATGTTGTGATATAAGAAATTGTATATCGGTATATATGTACATAAGATAAGATAAGATAAGATAAGACAAGATAAGATAAGATAAGATAAAATAGAACTTTATGGATCCCGCAGGAAATTGTTGTGCCAGAGTTTCAGTACAAAGGAACGCACACAAGGTATAAAAAAATGACAGAGAATATAAAAAATACCAGCAATTAAGTTCTAAACAGGTCAGGTGACATGTATATATGGGGAGTGGTGGCGCAGAGGTAGTGGGCCTGTGATCGGAAGGTTGCCGGTTCAACTCCCTGGACAGATAACATTAAAATGTGGGTGAGAAAGGTGAAACATCCACACTTGTCTCCACCCTCATTTGCCTCACTCTGGGCCCTTGAGCAAGGCCCTTAACCCCCACCATCTGCTCCCCCAGGTGCCCTAGATGGCAGCTCTTTGCTCCACACAGAGGGCTGTGGTAGCGCGGTGTCTATGGTTGTGTCAAGAAGGACATCCAGCGTAAAAACAATCGCCAAGGCTTCGTGTGAGTTAGTTTGCCGTGGCGACCCATGCAGAAGGGAGCAGCTGAAAGAGGAATATATATATATATATATATATATATATATATATATATATATATATATATATATATATATGAATGTTGAGGCATTGTCAAATTGCTTAAACCCCAAAAAATAACTGAACTCAGATCAACTTTCGGTAAATATGATTAAAAAAAAATTAATATGTATATAACAGAAAGTTCTTGTCTGCACCATTGTTGCTGAATCATTGTTGCTGAATCATTGTTGCTGAATCATTGTTGCTGAATCATTGTTGCTGAATCATTGTT